CCAGCTCTCAAGTGGTTGCAGCATAAAGTCAAGCACTCATCTGAGGTTTAAGACTGCATGGAGTTTTACTTTGACTTCCTTGCTTTGCCGTCATGGCATAATGCTTAGTTGCAGGGCGGCCTTATCTTCTACAGTGACCCGCTTTAATCAATAAGTATAATTTAGTTTAGGTTGAATACTGAATGGCAGTTAGTAACTAGCAAAGGTTCTAAGAAGTTTTCAGCATTTTTAAACCTTTATTCTTAAAGAAAACTAATAGTACAAATTAATGCTACCCATTTTGTAGTTTGTAGTAAAACATTTATTTTGTTATGTTCCAGAAGAACATTTTGTATGGCATGATTATTTAGAGTCGACAAATTCAGATGAAGTTCCACAGACATCATTTCTTCATGTAAGTTTTATCAAACTTTTAATACTTACTGTTTTACCTTGTGTCATTGTCCATATTTAACAGCATGATTGCATTAATGGTCATGGTTTGCACAATTTAGTGCAGACTGACTACTAATAAAAACACATAATAAAGTAATCTTAGAACTTAGCACCTTAGGCCATTCATATTAACTGAGGCTCTCGTGGCAGGTACTGGGGTCATACCTTAGTCTCATACTTTAGCCTCATGTACAATCTATCATTCAAAATCAACCTACCATTCAGTATTATATAGCAAATGACATTAATAAGAAACACAAAAATTGGTCACTTTGAATAGGAATGGCTTTATTTAGCACATCCTCGTACTTACACTGATGTATGAATTGATTTTCCTGTATCAGGTTGAGCAAAGCCTGCAGAATGGTCTTCATGAGGGCATGATGCTAGAAATTCCCAGCAGGGTGACTCCAAATACTTACTGGATAGCAACCATAGTGATGGCATGTGGACCATTGCTTAGGCTGAGATTTGTCGGACAAGAAGCTGATCGGACGCAAGACTTTTGGTACGATCTTACCAAAGTACAGGTGTACCCACTTGGTTGGTGTCGTGATCATCACCTCCGTCTTCAGCCACCGAGCGAACTTTTACCAAAACTTCTGGACTACGAAGCATTTGCCATACGAGCCTTGCAGAATGCTGTGTCTGTGCCACCAGAATTGTTGTCTGGTGTAAGTACTATTTAAATTGTTAAAATGTTTGACCTTTCCTTGCTAAATGTGTGGAATTTAGTATATCACCTGTGTCGACAGCTAAATGTGTGGAATTTAGTATATCACTTGTGTTGACGGCATTGGCCTCCATTCTGACACCCATTCTCATTTCCTTTGTTATTAATTTAACGTATGGAGTATACAGACAGAGCATGTATTTACAGGTTATTACCAGATTTTTTTTTTCATTTTTCTATTATGAAAAGTCATTCCAGTATGTTGTATGGTGTCTGATTGTTGGTCGTTAACGATGGAACAAACGAAGAGCATCTGGAAAGGAGAACTGTGTTTTCCGGTACATTATGGGCATAATGAGGATGTTGAAGGAAAACTGTCAATAACAGATATCAACAGGGTGATAGAAAGTGTCAAAAGAAGTCAGATTTTACTGTGTTGGTATAATTTGTGCCATTTCACTAAATTCTGTTTGGATTAAACTAAGATAGTACTCAACCTCGTCACTCTATTTTATTTGTATTTGTTCCAGTAGTAGATGCTAAAACATCTATTGCTCATGGTTGTGTAAGATTTTTTTTTTTATTATTTTAATAGACTTTATCGATGATGATTTTGTTGAATTGGGTCGTACTGTATGATACCAGACAGAGGGAAACAGAGATAAGTGATCAAAAGGATTTTATATATAGAAGATATTTTGTGTTATTGACAGCATGTATATGGCGGAGTTTTATGCACGAGCAAAGTAAATTTAACATTGTAGTCTGTTGCAGTTCAAATGTGAAAAATGTGTGCTGTTTCAGGATGGCTTCACACCAGTTGACAGGATCAAACAAGGCATGAAGGTAGAGGTACAGGACAAAGTAGAACCTTATCAGCTGTGGGTTGCTACGGTAAGTTTTTTCTGGTCATCTTAGGATAGATTCTTCTGCCATCTTTAGCTCACAACTGTACTTCAGAAGAGCTAGTCTTGTGGTCTTGCACATGACTAGCAGGATTTTAGAGATATGTATTGCCTCCATCTTCAGGGTCTCACTTTATGTTGAAGACAGAGGTGATACATCTCTCTCAAATGCTGTTAACCGCCTGCAAGACCGTGTTTTGTCACAGCCCAGAAGACTACAATTATCCACCTAATTGGATGTTAAAAAGCAGGATTATATATTTTTTTAATCTGCTTGTCAATTTGAGTCTTTTCGTTCATAAGCACGTTGTTCATCACTTCATCCATGAGATATGGAATATTATATTTTGATAGGCATGTCAAATTTTATAAGTAATAGTATGCCAGTAAATATTAAGATTTGCCAAAATGTCCTTTTTAATATTTTCTCTTAAGAACCGTTGGTCGAGTTCCTTTATTGGTTGAGTGTTGTCAGAATTATTGAACATATGTTAAGTTAAAAGAGATATTAATTTTTCTTTATATTGAAACTTTACATAACTTTTTACAACTATTAATTTGTTTGCAATAAACTTTAGAGTATATGCTTTATTTGTAATAATTTTGTATGATGACTATTCATTTATTGGCATACAGTAATGTACTGCTTTGCATTAGATAATAGAAAATGTGGGAGGCCGGCTACTTCTGCGGTATGACACGCCAGATTCCTCCTCTCCGGACTTTTGGCTCTTCCACAGTTCTCAGCGGCTCTTCCCAATGAGTTGGGCCTCACAAAAAGGTAAGATACGGTGGCATAATCATTATTCATTGGCTCTATGTCCTTACTAATACAATTTCAACAATAAAATTTATTGTAGTTTTAAGTGCATGTATTATATTAACGGTACCTGTTCGGATATCACAATGTGGTTCCTTTCTACAAGTCCACATGGTGTTACTACCTAGGAGACCAACATTGATATTGTCTGGTGATGTATTTTTATAACTGTTTGGAAAATTTTCTAATCTTGCTGTTAGTAGATTCCAAGATCTCAGAAGTAAAGGCACTAAGTGTGGAATAACATTCGTCATGGGTTGTAGGTTCCCCGTGGTCGCTACACTGGCCAAGCCACATGAAGACTCATCATGGCAATGAGGAGTGGGAAGCAGTAATGGAAATGGCAAAGGAAGATGCACGCAGAGTACCATTGCCTCCTGACCTTTTTGAGGTTTGGAAGTTTCTAAGTAACTGTCTGGTAATAGAGTCCAAAGTTTCAACATCGCATGTGATAAAGTGCACCGTTAGACATGATCTTTTGCCACATCAGTCTAGCTCACACTCTTAAAACATGTCCGTAAGGCTCGATTTAAAAATATTCTCCCAGCTTTTTTGGTGTTCCAAGTGGCTACACTTCAGTAAACGTTAAGCACCGAAATAAGGGATAACTGTATATGTACAAGGTACCTGTCAGCTATGAATCATAATTGCTGAGTAGTAGTTGACTCATTTTGTGTAATATCATATATGAGCAAAATTTAGGTAACAAAATGTTGTAATTCTTTGTATATCTTGGATTTGATTTGTTTTATTTCAGAATTACTATTACAACATTCCTGTTCACAAATTTACCATTGGAATGAAATTAGAGGCAGTTCATCCTCGCAACATGGTTGAAATATGTCCGGCCACTGTGGTTCGAGTATTCCCACCATATTACTTTATCATCCAGATTGACAGTTATGCCACGGTGGAAACTGATGAGACGGAGTCATTCCAGCTATGCACAATAGAGCACCCGTACATATTTCCAGTTGGTATGTACTAATTAATGGACTCAGTAGAATGTCGAGGAGTTAGCTCATGTATCTGATATATTGATCCTTACCATTATAGCTATTTAAATTTGATTTCAAGACCCCTCAATATGTTACTGAAAGACTGGTCTTGACCATGGTTTGGAATCTTCGTCTAGCACTGGGTCTCCTCTATAGATCCACCCTCGCATTGGGAATAAACAGAATTTTGCCATATGGGAATTCACCCCCTCAGATGCTGAATTGCAGAGCGAACACAGGTTAAAAGTGTTGAAAGACTGAGGAGGGTAACAATTTTATAGCTTCAGTTAAAAATTATCTACAATTCTCATCTTTTTTCCATTATTATTTGTAAAATTACTTAATACTGATTTTATTTATAGGCTGGGCCCAGAAACACGAGCTTTGTCTGACTCATCCTCGAGGCTGGACGACAAGTAAAGATGAATTTGATTGGTCAGAGTACTTAAAAGTAACAAAGTCAAGTGCTGCTCCAGCTTCATGTTTTCCTCAGCAGAAGTCAGTCAAGGATCTAGGTTTTACTCCGGGAATGAAACTGGAAGCCGTCAATCCAGAGAACCAACATCAGATTTGTGCTGCATCTATCGTCAGGATTATTGATCATCTGTTGTGGATACATCTTGAGTCCAATGACAGGTTGAATCTGTGGATGGAATAATTTGTTTTTCCATGTCATAGTTGTCACTTCTTGGAAGAAGCTAAAGAATTTGAACCATTACATGAAGATGAAGAGACTGAGGCAGAATGCCATGCACCTTCTCTTCAGAAGGTCCCAAAACCATCCTGTTATTCATTATAGAATCTTTTTGGGTATTTGAGGGGCCAAACACTTCTCTGTTACATATAGCAGTGCCCCATGTTAGCAAGCAGGCAGCTGTGGGGTTAATTGGAAACAAAATTATATATTTTTTATTTAAAATTCATTACATTTTATAATATACATTCATTAAACACTACAGTTTAGATTTCAACATAGCAAAACATAATTTATTAAATCCACTGAAAAGTTTTCTAATCCAGGTCTTCATGTTTATTAGCATGACCCAGTCTTCTGTTGCAAGGTTGTGTTGTGGGTTACGTGATATACCAATGACAGAAATGTTTTTACCAAACAATGTCTTCCATATCACCACCCATGCATTGATTTTATGTGTTTTGCTTTCATTTTCATACTTAACATTTCTTGTTGGTGTTGTCTTTCATACATAAAGAATGGAATATGTAAATGTTGAGGGATTGCATGATTTCACAGTGAAAATTTAGGATGCATGAATTATACTAGGACTTTTATTATGTGATTAAATATGGCAGATACATATGTTTCAGACCACAAGAATATAAGACGTGCTCATTATGTCAGTGTTGTAACCTTCAGTTTTTATGTGATTGCAGTTTTCACCCAAATCATATAGTGAGCATGGATTCACATGACATATTTCCTGTCGGCTGGTGTGAAAGCAATTCTTACCCTCTGAAACCTCCACACTTGTACCAAGTGCCAGTGAAACGTGAGCAAAATGAGATGACTGTGTAAGTAATAAACAACTGGAGCTTAGATGGCGCCTTCATCATCAGGGTGATGGGACCTTATTACTCTGATGATGGAGGCAGCAAGCACCTTTGAAATGTCTGCGAACTACCAAACTACACAGTGAAAAATTTGAGAAGACTGTCATTTTCAAAAGAAGGGTTATTGATCATTTGACTCAAGGAATTGCTTTGTTTAATGCTCAGTTTTACCGTTCCAAGTCATTGAATTTACATTATTTAAGATTTTCTCAGTTTAGTATTCAAATCTACTGTCATGCATATTAAATGGCAGTTTCACTTGTAAGTAGTTGTCGTTCTGAAGAGCTTGTTACCAGAGTTTGATGCTTCTTTGTGCAGAAGTGAAAAGAAAGATGCGAGTGCTTCATCCAGTCCTCCACAACAGCAGCAGCAGCGCTCTTACTGGTGTCCTAAGATCTACTTCAATCACAAATGTTTTTCTGGACCATTCCTCAGCAAAGGAAAGTTAGCACAGCTGCCCAAAGCTGTGGGCCCTGGTCCAGTTACACTTGTAATGCGGGAAGTACTGTCCATGTTGATATCCGTGGCATACAAGTCCAGCAGAGTGCTCAAAGAACTGCAGACAGATGGAAAGCCCAAACCAGGCATGCATCTGGAAATACTCAAGGCCAAGTGAGAATACTTCCTACACTTTTTACAATAAGTTCTTGGAAGAACTTACGATATATGATTCCTGTGTAGTGTGTAGGTTTATACCCGTTGCCCCACTCACTTTCATGGTGTGATTAGGCACAGAAGATATTTTTATTGCCTTTCAAGGCTACATTCTCTTAGCTTTCTTTTTTTCTTATTATTTGATTGATGTGCAGAATTAATCCAAGTGTAATGATTCTGTACACTGCCACGGTGGTCTAGCGGTCAGAACGCTGGGCTTGTAATCCTGGGGGTCCCGGGTTCGATTCCCGGTGGTGCCCGGATTTATAACTTGTGTTGGGCAAGGCCGTGGTCCAGGTATCACAGAGTTTTCCTCCGGGGCTTCCCTGGTTTCTCCGTGGCATCCTAACAATTACTCCATTCTCATCATCATTTACACATGGATCATTTGCCAAGGAAACATATGAACAGGTCCCTATCAGAGGGAACTTGTTCATAATGTCACCAGGGGTCGGCTCCGACCCGATGGCACAAAAAAAATGGTTCTGTAAAATTTCTGTCCCTTTCTGCATTTAACCTTTTGAATCCCAGTACTAACTATACGTACCACCTGATTTGACGGTAATTCTATTTCCCCCCACAGAGTGTATTTGTTGGTTTCATATTATTCTTCGAATAAACAGCGATTTCCTTGAAGACCATTAACCAGTTGATCTTTGTAATGGTGGAGTGTTCTTTTTGTGGTATGGACTGAATTCTTAAACAATATTTGGACAAACTTTGTCTTCAAGGGGTAAAACAAATTCTAGTGACATGCCGTGTAACACTACTGATGTGCATTTACACAACTTGCATCATCGGCTGCCTTTGGTTTGCAGGTACAAGAACAACACTTATCGTGCCAGTGTTGCTCTTGTTACGTCTGCTGATAAAGTGCCATCCTTCTGTGAGGAAATCTGTCTGAAGCTGCAGGTGTGCCCCTTCCTGTTTGGACCTATTGCCATTGGAGAAAATAATTGTCCAAAGAACTGCAGTACTCTCTCCAAGACTCGATTCAGTAAGTTCTGTATTGAGAGTTGCACAGATTCTGTTCTGTTAGGTATTTATTAGTAATTATCACCAAAAATGTTATTTCTTGTTAAAAACACATAATTTCTAGCAGAAGACAGTGTGAATTATATTTAAGCAAATATGGTATATAAACCTTTATTGGCTTATGTTTGGTCCAGTTGGCCATGAATTGCAGTAGCATACAATTAAACCATTATATCCTGTATTTAATGTTCAACCAGCAGCCCTGTATATGGGGATTTAACTTCCATATTCCAGTATGATAAAACTTAAAATGTTTACAATAAACACTGCTGAATTTGTCCATCTTACCTCCAGCTCAGTATTGGGTGCACGGGAAACGCAAGATTGGGCGTCCTAAAGGAGAGGCAAGTAATATAATTCCACGGCCGAAGAAGAAGCGAGGACGCAAAAGACTGTTTGCCAGCGCAAAGGTGGAAACAGAATGTGAAGCTGTACGAGAAGAGAGCAATAAGGAATCAGCTGATGTAATTCAAGCACCTAATTCTATAGGTAAGTACTTTCACTGTTGGCAGCGGAAAAATTACATGAAATAACTGTCTGTTATTCATGGTCTCCCTAATACTAAAGTTCGTGTGTCTTGCAATGTTTCGTCCATAAACATGCAAGTGTATTATTTCTATACACCTTATTCTACGTATATCCTCCAGATTGGGATGATACTTGTTCTAACTTCACAACCCATTCTGAGTTGTCATATTACATTTATGTGTGTTTCTTGCTTATACTGTGGAGTGAGTCATATTCCTTGGTAGAGTGCTTGATTCACAAACTGAAGAGTGAGTCATTTGAAACTCAGTTTGTACCTAAGATATTAAGGGCCCTTTCACACGTGGCTCATGTGAGCGGCTCACATGAGCTGAAGCGACTGCTGGGGATAGGAATCCCAGCAAAATGCATTGGTCCCTTCCAGACGAGAGCCGGTGAACCTGTGTGAGCGGCTGATGAGCCACTATGCAGCTCTCCCCTCTAGTAGTGGCTACTGACGAGGAGAGTTTTGCCTGCTTTGACATGGAACCCTTTCACACGAGGCTTAGTGAGCTGCAGATCAAGCAAGTCTAGCCAATGCATTTATACAGGAGGGTCACATTGTGGGGGGGGGGAAACTCCAGTAAGTTGTTTGTAATAGGTACTATTTAATAATAATTTATAATATTTATGCTATAAATATTACTATTACTTCTTCAAGTTCCAACATGATTTGATGAACGCTGCTAATACACTGAAAATGTGTTGCTGGAGGGACTGAGTGAAGTTGTTAACTCTAGCGGAGGGTCATGTAAGCCAAACTCTGAATTGCTTATCGCCTCCGCATGAGCTGCATACCTTCTCAGTGAGCCCCTCAGTTGAGCGGCTCACAGGCTCACGTGTGAAAGCAGTCTAAATGTCTTTACATTTTTGGTGGCTCCTACTTGTTCTGACCTTGACACTAGATGGGGGTGAGTGGTCAGTGTCATGACTTAGCTGCACTGTACCCCCCAAGGATGCCCACTGGATGGGTGGCTGGGTGGTGGGTCACAGGGCTGGCCTGGATGCAGAGGCTAGAAGAATGGTCCTTTATTCCTAATGAAGATTGAACCCTGGTTGTCAGTGCGTAGTAGTAGTCACTGTACTGACTGAGCTGCCCGGCTCATAGTAACTAGTATAATGAAGAAAATGTTTTTCTTTAACATAGAGAATACGACTTTGTCAGGTAATGACAGTGATGCTAGTCAAGATATGGCGGATATGTCTGCTGGAAACTCCCCACCAGAAAGTGCTGGCAGCAGTAGCAGACGTAAATATTGCAAGAAGGAGTTCCCACGATCAGAAATAAAGACGAGGGGTGCCAAATTGCCCAACTTTGCGCTGAAAATGCGTGCTGGTCATTGGACACAAAAAGAGTGGAAGGCGAATTCAGATGATATTTCACATGTCGACACAAGAAGCAGTAGTTCATTGTCCAGGTAGTAGAATGTTTATTACAGTTATTATAAGCCTTGTACTGTTGTCACATTAAGTATGAGAAAAGTTGTGGAATTGAATTTCACATGTACTTATTTTATGGACTCTAAATATCTTCTATAGCGATGTCAGATTTCTGATTTAAAGGTAAAATTAATATTGGTGTGAATGTAAATGATGGTGTAGGGGAAGAGATGAAAAAATTGTAAACTTTTATTTGCAATTTTAATAGCAACATTTCATATTTTAATGAATGTCTTGCTGATTTTTGGGCAAGGCATCGAATGTTTTTCCCATTTATCACCTCTGATAAAAAGTTACGGGTCAGTCTTCATGAATGTGATGAATATGAGGCCTGCATTGAGGTTCAGAGCCTGTTTCAAGTTGTGGGTCCTCTCTGTCAGCCACCCTTCTACCACTGGTAGTAGTTTAGTCTGTAGTGCCCTGACTATTTGACTAGAGGCTAGAAAGATTGTACTGTACTGTAGACACATTCCAATTTTCATTAAAATCGAACATCAATAACAGGCACTTTGCATGTGTATCTGTGTGTGAAAGTGACTAGGTATGGAATCCCCAGGTTACCTTGGTTACCTGAAGAATCTCCAGTAATCCCTACAGCCACATGGAAGATTCCTCTGTGTTCATGTTGTCAGACCATTGCCTTACACCCTGCCAATGCAAATTGCACTCATTCCAGGCAACTCTGATGTCAACCACCATTTGAAAAGCTCAAATCTTAACCTCAGTTTCAATTTTTCCCATTGTTAAATTCTGTTTCTGCAGTTCAACAAATTATTCCTTTCAGCAATGGAGCAGTGAAAGTAACTGAGAGAACTCAAGAGTCCCCAAACATTGTACAAGCTGAGGATAAAGAAGCTGATGGACTGAGTAGCATTGCTTCACTGCGTAGCAGGGAAAAGCAACCTTCTCCCCAGCTACTGGGTGATCAGTTTGAGCTTGATTCAAACCCTCTACATTGGACTCAAGAAGACGTGTACCAGTACCTCATAAAAACAGATGACTGTGGTGATGTGGCACAAAAATGCAAAGATGAGGTACGGTACATTGTGGAAGAAAACTTTTAATATTGTAGAGCAGAGGTTTCAGACTTGTTTTGGTTAATACCATACTCTGTTATATTGACTATCTTTATACCATCAACCACTAAAACAAACTGCAAGATACACTGTATATTGTGTTGATTTAAAGAATTTATATTACAGTGCCTTGTCTGCTGCTGCATAGCAGCCAGTTGATACAGGTGGGCCTGCATCAGTCAGCCTGGACATGAATGATGAAAGTATAATGTTCTGCATGCTTTTGAGTGTCTCAGATCCAGTTCTGTAGGATGTTGATGTTGGTCGTCTGGGTTTAACACCACGTGGAATTGTAGATATGTTCCTCTGAAATGTTGGTATATACCTACAAGTCCACATGGCATTACAGCCCGTAACCAACATCGACAACCTCATCACTGTGAAACCCTCATATGTCATACAGTGCTCTAGGAGTTCACATGTTGAATCCCATTTATTGGTATTCATTAAATAATGTTTATAACTTTTGTTCTCTTACAGCTAATTGATGGACAAGCATTCATGTTGCTGAATTTTCCAACGGTGAGAGAAAATTTGTATCTTGGGTTGAAACAGGCGGTTAGGCTATGTAAACATGTAGAACGAGTGAAGCTTGCATTTTACCTTCAGTATATCACAGGTAGTGAACCGTAAAGATTAAATTATTATTATTCATTAATTGTGTTTTTTAATAACTGCCAACTTTTGATATTTAAGTACATATTTATTGCAAGGAAACATCCACAGGTTGAATAGAGACCTTCTCAGATACAAGAGAAAGTTAACAGTGAAAGAACTTCAGGGGAGAGAAGCAGAGTGCTTGATTCTTGTACAGTCAGCTTTCCATCTACAATTGTGTTTTAATAAAGAAAGATTATGGGTTCTCCATGTATGCATCTGCCTGTCCTGTCCCAAATAATATTTAATCCAGTGCACCAATTTTTGTGAATTTTGTTGTGGTAGTTGTACAAACATCTGAAGCACTACTGGTATTTTATGAAGGCACTTAAAATTTGAAGTGATAATAAATCCCTAAAAATACACAACTTTTGTTGTGTTTATCTTTGTGGCAAGAGCAAGAAGTAATGTATTTACTGTGTGGACAATGTAAAATTTTACGTGGCGATAGATCACATATAACGGTGATATTACTACGTCACGAATATTTCATTTAAGTTGTTGGCTTCATATTCGATACATTGCTGGTCCAATTATTTGCCTAAAGGTCATCTGCCATAACTAAATTTCATGGTCTCTCTTTACCTTCTTGTGCAAATACTGGTGTATTACTTTAAAACAAGTCATGGCTACTTCCTTCTATATCCTTTCCAGTTCATCTTCCCACTTAGCAGTATATAACCTATCCAGTTGAGAATGCAGCAAATAAAGAAACAAACAGCCAAACTTGACAACCCACTTCAGCACTTCTATTTAAATTTTGGTTCTCACCACCAAGGCATTTACTAGTGTTACAGTACCATGTGTTAATTATTTCAGTGATTATTATTATTGTCGTTGTTGATGATGATGTTATTGACCTAAATATTTAAAATACTTGCATGTTTTTGTCTCACCAGTGGTATCATTTTCACATGTCTTAAAAACTTTTGGTAGTGAAAAGAAAATTGGCTTATTTCACAAGGTGAGACTCTTCCTGCTATTTGTACCTAATGTATGGGCCATCATATGCTTATTATGTAGCAATGTTGTACAAAATAAAAAACATGTACAAAGAGGCAGTAAGAAAGGTTATGCATGATAAAGGTTATTGGATGCTCCGAGATTGACAGTCCACAAGTGTAATACGTGCAAGTGAGAATGAGTAGCTAAATAAACCAAAAAGAGATAATGAAAAAGTGTCAAGTTGGAACCCAAGCCAATCTAATAAGAACACATATTTGAAACCTCCTTGAACCTTAACTGCCATATGGGATACTTTCCTGTATATGAAATGTAACTTTTGTTTGTTATAATTTAAATAATTGTGGTCCTGTAAGGCTACAAGCAGTTTTTTGACACTGCCTCCATCATCAGGGCGATGAGTACTCATTGTTAACCAGACTTCAGTTTCAGGTTTAGCAGTATGTTATAACATACGGCCAGCTGCAATATTCATAAAATGTTACACAACAGTAGCCAGCATCATTCTTTATTAAAATAGCACCCATAAGGATGGTCCTTCACATCTGCACATCCTCCCACCATTGTGCCACCCTCTTACCTCCTAACAGTACCTAGAATTTAATTTACAATCCAAAAAGGAGATGACTGTATTACAACAAAAAAGGATGTCACTGTTGTTCTTTGTCCTCATATAGCATACGTAACACAATGGCCAGGCATGCGTTAGTGCTCCCTTGTTTGGGGAGCAGGAAGTCAGGTTAACCATTAAGAATACGGGCATGTACTAGGCAGAATTAATTTAAATGCGGCTAATAAAATTATGTTTACTCTTATTTTTAAACTTTTTGTCAGTTTTCTGTTTTCATAGCAGCAAATAAGAAAATGTGTAACAAAACTATGCTAGTCTAAAGACGATTCGAATTCGTAAATTCGGCACTTTATTCACGATGATAGTCAATTTTGAAACCATTCTAGAACATAAATGAAAATTAGCAATAGATTCGATTAGTCTTTAAATTAAGTACTATTTAAATTTAAAATAAACATTTTTAGAGTGTAACTCAGCATTTGTATAAAGGAAAACTATTCAATACCACTTGTAACCAACACCCACATTTCGAACAGTTTGTATTGATTTATGTAGTTATCACGTGATGTGTTGTAGAATTTTTTTTTGTGAATGCTGACTAAAATGCGTTAGGTAAATATGATGTGTGAATGACTGAATTCGGATAATTTATTCGCTAATATTGTAATTTATGTGCGTAAGAGATTTTTATCTGGACACCTACAACAGTAGCTAGGTCTGTATGTAATTCTTTTGATGCAGTATCATGCCCAATTGATCGATTGGTCTACACCCGACTAGCGGCAATGGACTGAACAAGCCTGCGTACTGGCATCTTTTAATAACACTTGTTATACTTGTATTTTACCTCGTTTTTTATAGATCATCTCAGTGGTGTGAATGATTTATTTCCAAATTATGCAGTTTTTACCGAGTCCACGAATTCTACGAAGAATGTCCGTGTAATATCAACAAAGTGCATTTTAGTGGGTGTTGTCAAGTCCATTCCCTTTGCCTCAGGGGGAAATGCAGGGTAAATTAGATCATCGTCGTTCATGTCAGTGATGATTCAGAATTCATGATTTCGTATCTTAGTCAGCTTACAAGTTTGTCATAAGAGAATATCAGCAAATATGTGGTTTTGAAGAGGTTTGCATTGAATTTTTTATGCGATCTGTGTGTGTGTGTGTGTTCTAGGTAGCAGCATCAACATGGATTCTTCAGTATGGACAGCACACCTTTTATTAGTAGCTGTCTGTTTCTTACAAGCTACAGCTCTAAGTAAGCCCCCTCAGCAGTTTTAAATCTAAGTTAATGCATTATAAGTGAATATTAGTGTGGTAACAACATGTTAACAGTAATTTGTAGTTGATTTTGCAGGTCATACTTATCAGGTAGCTTCTGATTGTTAATGACTTTTATGGAAGATCTTAGCAAACTTCCAGTGATAAAGGAAGTTTTTTTCTAAAATGTTTTGTTATAGTGCTGATCAGTTATGATTGGTTCCTTGATGTGGTCTCCTGGGTTGTGACACCTTGTAGTCCTGTTAGTGGTTACCATTGATGCAGATGAACATAATGCTTTTGTCTTGAGGGTATGTTTTTGTAAGTTCTGGCATTAGAACCCAGAAGATCACAATCTGAATTTTTTGCCACTGTGATAATCTTAAATCTCAACCATTAAAGATTAATGTTATGTTGTATATGAGATTTATAAATAATTGCTTGCATTGGTTACTCAATTTTGGATGTTTAAATGACTAAAATGTGTTATTAAATTGTAGCATGTTAACCTTGCTTGTAGTTTTTCATGTAAATATAGACTTTTATGCAATTCTGTGCTTTCTGAATGCTTTGTTTAATTTCTGTGTTAAATTATGTGTCCTGCAGCCTGTAATAATAAAATACATAAATATTTGTCTACAGTTCAGTCACCACCTCGAATTGTAAAGCAACCTCCAACAGATGAACTTCTGTTCCAAGTTGCACAGCAGCAGAACGAGAATGATAAACCCTTCATTATAGAGTGTGAAGCAGAAGGTGAACCAGCTCCGAAGTATGTATTTGAAACCTAAGGAGGACAAAGTAATTGATATTGTGTGATGAAGAACTTTGTTGTTTATTCAGATTGTATGGCACTTTTAGGATGTTGAAATGCTGGAGGCTGTGATGGGTTAGACACATAGCTAGGTTGAAGGTTATAATTTATACATATAGAATTTTGTTAGGAAGCAAGTTGGAAGACATCCACTTGCAAGACTGATAAGATGAGAGGATAATGTTAGGGAAATAGATTATAGAATGGCAAGTAGATGAAATTGTTTATGGTTGCGTTTAATAGTGGAATTTTTTTTATCTTGGTCTTATTAAGTGCCTTACGGTATGCAGCCAGTGGTTGTTAAGTTACATCTTACACAATTATTGTAGGTATTTAGATGTAATAAAGTAAGCTGTGATGTAGTATCAGTTTATATGGATGATTTTTATAATGTAATGAAATTAAATAATTATTGTCTTGATACATGTTTTTGTACATACAGTAATTTTGTTAATAATTATTTATTGTGCAATTGAAAGGTATCGATGGATAAAGAATGGAAAGCATTTTGATTGGCAAGCTTATGATGATCGAATCTCACAGCAACCAGGACGTGGTTCTCTTGTAATTTCATCTCCGCGTGATGAAGATTTAGGTAAGGAGAAGTATGCAAAAAAGTTTCTCAATTAATTTTACTTTGAAAGTTAAAATTGTAAGACTGGGAAAAGGACAATTATAAAATTAGATTTAAGAAATTTAAGTGGTTTGCAAAACGATTAATGGTATTGCTGTCCCGCTTATAACAACAGAGTTGTTATTTTACAGGTCAGTATCAGTGTTTTGCTACAAACGAGTGGGGTACAGCGACTTCAAACTCGGTATTTGTCCGTAAAGCCGAACTGAACTCTTTTAAGGATGGCCCGCCCATTACAGTGAGTGCTCAGGAAGGTGAGCCATTCAAACTGACTTGTCAACCTCCAGATGGTTGGCCCAAACCAAATGTCTACTGGCTGATACAGGTAACGTACAACAGATAAAGGAAATGCTCATGCAACGTGTATGAGAGGGAAATTTCCTGTGGGTTCAAAGTTTTTCGTAGAGACCAGCTATTCGTATTTATGCCTTTTTATGGCTTTCCCTTGCCTATTCAGGCAAATGATATGATATAATATGACAGAAAAGGCCATAGCTACTGCTTTCTACATCATTTTCAGTGCATTGTTCGTAATGTACTTGTAATGTAAATTCAGTATCTTGACTGGATGAATGCAAACGTTCATGTGGTGTTGAAAGGATACAAATTAATTTCTGACATTGGTGACTCTGATAGTAAAGAATGCAAATAAAGTTGTGGAGTCTGGCAAAGTCCGCATTTGCTCGAGACTAGAGCCAGACAGTTGGTTTTATGTCCCTGTGTTTAGAGGAATCTAACTTAAGATGCTTTGAAGATGTTTTCACATTTAATTAATTTAATTTATAAAAAAATATATAAATGTTGTATTTTCTGTGCAATTTGTAACGATATGCTGCAATAAATTTTACTACTGTCGAACATAAAGAAGTGTTATTTCTGTAAAATTTGATGGGTCATATGCTAGTACTGTTGTAATATTAGGTTAAGAAATTTTTATAGTTGATAAGTTATTGGAAAGTAAATCAGGACATCTTGAAATGGGACATTTTTTTTAGATGTAAAAGAAAAGTGTATTTTTCTTTCAGAACACCGATGGTGGCATAAAGAGTATTAACAACTCTCGTATGACTCTTGACCCTGAGGGTAACTTGTGGTTCTCTAATGTAACGAGGCATGATGCAAGTGATGACTTTGCATATGCATGTGCTGCCACCTCTGTGTTCAGGTGAGTAATCTTTTATATAGGTGGGAGAACAAATTGGCACACCAGTGACTTGTTTATGTCTGGGAGGTTTCTGGTTTGAATTTCACGCAGAGTACAAGCATTCATGGCTCCAGTAATTTTCCTCATTACTTCATAAATGCCATACTAATGCTTTTTATCCAAGTTACAGCTGCTTTCTCTCCTGTCCTTTTTCTAATTAATGAAATGAAACTGTTGCATTCTGTTTGATAAGTAAGATCTGCAATTGATATTATTACTTTAAATAGCATAACAACCAATATTCTGCAGTAGTAGCAAGAGCATGTTGTATTGAAGTCGTGTTCCAATACTGGACTGAAGTTTCTGCTGCTCACTGGTTAGATGCCATGTAATGGTCAGTGTGTTAATGTGGAGATATTGTTCTACCTTTTAACCTTTTCCCTGATTAATTTTTGCCTGAAAATATGATAAAAAATCAAATTATGATGAGTTTTGATGAGAAATATGTAATCACACTGTATAAAATGCTGTTTACAAAAATTCGCTTTATCACAAATGAATTATAAATGATATTGCATTTAGTTTGGGAACTTACTACACGTAAAAAGTCGTGCTGTACTTGGGCAATCAAGCATTAAAAACATATAAACACACATGGCTTATGAAGGTATTATTTACTGACACCTGGAGTTTGATATATATTTTTTCTTCATGACTTGAATTAATTTGTTTTAGTAATGATGGGATAGAAGAAAGGATATTGTTCCAAATTAACTTGGATTAACTTTTTTTTATAAGATCATCAGTTAGAGATATCTTTGTATAATCATGAAAGCAGTTAATAGTCTTGAGTGTATGAATGCTTGTTTCAGAAATGAGTATAAAGTTGGCAACCGTATGCTGTTGGATGTGATACAAACTGGTGTGTCTGCATCGCAAAACAGACACGAACCTGTGCAGCAGTATGTTTCCAGAAAGAATGAAGTAGCATTGCGAGGCAGGAAAGTGGAAATGTATTGCATATTTGGTGGAACGTAAGTATGTATGACTTCAGTAAAAATATAAATATGCACTCATGGTCTCTGAAGGTTTTTGTGTGCACATGGTTCCCTCCTCTTCAATAATAGCCCTTTTTTTTTGATTCACCAATCAGCACCATCAAACCTATCTTGTCACTCACTGCCTGCCCTATATAAGACCTTGTAACCGTCCTTGGCTTCCACCACACGTCACACTGCTTCTCACTGTTCGTTGTTGTTTTAGCCTGGCGCTCAGGTGGTTACAGCCTTTTTTTTTACGTGGGTTATGTGTGGAGATATTGAGGGAAATTTTGACGGTGTGGGGTTGTCAGCAAGTAAGAGTCTCCGACACCCAGGGAATATACATGGAGCAGAAGGTGAGGCGAATTCAGCATAGGTGGAGCAAATTCTCTTATGTTGCTGTGATATTTCAGAGAAGCTTACTTTTATTGTTTCTTAAGATACAAAAAAGACGAATATATATTCTCGTAGGCAGCCCGATGATTCGGCTGTTGCATTTGTTAAAAACGTGTCTCCTCGGTGGTAGGAATAAAACTTGAGCGAGGCCCGTAACCACAGTCGCCCTTTAAATACTCCTGCATTGTGTAACCCGTTATTGAATTTGGCTTAAACGCTGCGACCTGATTCGTTCCCCCACAACAGCGGGAACGCACCTATAAGCTGTATTCAAATTCAATTTGACCGTCGCAGTTAGGCGATGGTTGTAATGCAGTCGTCACCCACATCTGGAAAGGGTTCATCCCATGTTTGGGATGGCTCTAGTGCACTTTGTTTACGTCTCGCTCCCTCCAGACGGAATGTCGAGGGTCTGGGAACGTGCCCAAGCGACTGCGTGTGGCCACATTCTTTCAACTTTATATGTTTAACAGACCAAAGCCTGGTTTACCCTTCATCTCAAGGTTCAGCCCGTTTGGGAATCGAACTGTGAACTTGGACTGGCACAACCTCCAGAACTCCCCCAACTACATACCCACCATGAAGGTGGCAGCTGCATTGATTGCCAAAACATTGGTGAATATGAAACTTTCAGCATGGCTATTACCTGAAAGCCAGAGTTACACATTGAACTGCAGCTGCAAAAACCTATGGTCAAGAAGTGTATTTACATATATACTAAACTGATAACTCAGTTATCTAATGGAAAAGTATTTAATTAATATTTGTAATTGGTTGGTTAGTTGTGATCTTACCAGGTTTAATTTTCAGACCTTTACCACAAACTGTTTGGCGTAAAGATGGTCGAATGATACATCCCTCAGAGAAGATTACACAGAATAACTATGGAAAGAGCCTCGTCATTAAACATGCCGCATTTGAAGATGAAGGAAGTTACACCTGTGAGGTTAGCAATGGAGTAGGAGCAGCGAAGTCATACTCTGTTAACCTTCAGATCATGGGTAAGTCGTTCCTTCTGCTGTGGTGGTAAAGATAGACATTGCCTCTATGTCCATGCACCATGCCATGATAGTATAATGGGGGCATGGAGGTAAAGTTTCACATGACCATGGATTTTTTCATAATTAAAAGAACATTAATTTGTTAGTTGCACAAAATAACAATAATATAGAGTATATTCCCTAAGAATCATGCCACTGATGTATGAAGACAAAGCTCCACACATTATTAACTTTACATTGTCGTATAATGTTATAAAGAACTTAATACCACCTAGACATAAGACAATAACTGTAATGTATTACAAACGTCATGAACTGATGCACTCACACAACAATACAATGAGACACAACAATACAACATACCACACTCAAAATAAAACATCTGACACAATAAAAAAACACACTCACAATAAAAAAACACACAACACAATAAAAAAACACACACACAATAAAAAAACACACAGATCATGGCTGTCCCATACTTCACCAAGGAACCTGAGAATGTCAATGCTGCAGAAGATGAGACAATTGAATTCCACTGCAAAGCATCTGGTATACCTGAACCTCAGATCAAGTGGATCCACAATGGTCGCCCAATCAGTGAGGCTCCTGCTAACCCGCGGCGGAAAGTGACTCCTAACAGCATTGTTATCCAGAATTTGAGAAAGAATGACACAGGAAATTATGGGTGCAATGCCACCAACAGTCTTGGTTATGTCTACAAGGATGTCTATGTTAATGTTTTGGGTGAGTAAATTATTGTATACAAGAGAAGGAAATGAGAATATTGTCTTACAATGATTGAGTGACCTGTCACAATTGAATAGGGCGGCTTAGAGTTCCAGAAGGCATAATTACATTTCTGGTTTGCTACTGCATTCTGAATTGGTCTCATCACTGTCACTGACCCAAATTATAGAATACCGGTAATTTTGAAACCCAAACATTGATTTTTCCTTTAGCTCTGGCTCCTGAGATCATGGATCCTCCTCGAAGTGAGGCAACCGTTGATGGACGAACTGTGACCCTGATATGTCGTGTGTTTGGTGCGCCAAAACCCTTAGTTAAATGGATTCGTAGTGGCGTAGAGCTGACAGGAGGACGCTACACTGTTCTTGACAGTGGAGATCTTGAAATCAGGTATGTTGATTAAGATGGCAAGCGATAAATTGGATATTATTTGTATTTAATCTCGTAACATTAAATTGTGTATAATTTCTTGTTCAGGGATGTAAATTTCATGGATGCTGGTTCATACACTTGCTTTGCTGAAAACAAGTTTGGAGAAGCGAAGGCAGATGGCACTCTGATTGTGAAAGGTTAGAATCTTAAAGTCCTATTATGAGTTACATATATAGGATTTTTTTTAAGAATTCCTTTTCTAAGAAGGTAGTCAGTGTGAGTTTAATTATAATATAGTTGTAGTTGATGACTTCTTATTGCATTATGTTTTTCTTATAAATATTACCGCAACTGGTAACTGCATCTAGTGGGTTTTTTCATATTCCTTTGTTTTGGCTATAAATATTTTTAGCGGACTTCAGATTGTGTGAGATAATAATTTCATGCTTTTCTTTCTGGTACATACTGACATCACAGTATGGGGTATTTCCTGCATGTGTAATTTTTAATTGTGAAAATTCAGTGTGAATCTCTGACACCTTTGATCTTAATACCCAATAAAGGTGTTAATTTTTAAGTTATGAATACAGACATGTTGGTGTAATCACATTTTTTGTACTAATTTGTACTGTATAGTGTATGACAGCGTGCCAGCCCTCAGAAAACTCACTGCTGGTTTACCAGTCTGCGAGTTAGATTAGTTTTTAGGTGCACTGTGTGAAGTCTAATATTTTATATGTGATTTTTATGTCGGCAATGTTTGTTTATTCTTTGTGACAGAGCACACCAAAATCACAGATGAACCAGAGGATTATGAGGTGCCCGCAGGTAGCACAGCAACTTTCAGGTGTAATGCTGTGAGCGACTCCTCGCTTCCTCTCACTATCGAGTGGTTGAATAATGGGCAGCAGATAGATTTCGAAGCAGAACCTCGGTTTGTGCGTTCTTCTGACTATTCTCTTACCATCACCAAAACAACGGAACTTGATTCCGGCGTCTACACATGCGTAGCCCAAACAGATCTCGATGAAGCAAGGGCACAAGCCACTCTTATAGTGCAAGGTACTGTTTTCCCCACCTTGACATACAATGTACAGTTCTGTTAAATTAAAGTCCACCAACTCTGGATGTGATCGTGAACCAAGGCATTCTATTCTTCATTATTATTACAGCTTATTTCCTTGAGTTCCA